GGGAAGAGTGGACAGACTAGCAAAGGGAGCCCTCATGGGAATGTTCTTTATCATGAACACACTGGGGGTACATAGATTATCTATGTATAAAATTTTACTGAGTTGTATAATTTGTGTACTTCAGAAAAATCAGTAACAAAATGTATTTTTGTAACTTACTCCCCTGAAACATTTATTTAGAGAGTAGCAAGAGCTGCCTTAATCATAAAAGAATTTATCCCCAGGGGCTGGGGTTGTGGCTCAGTGGTAGAGCGTTCGCCTAGCACCAGTGAGGCACTGGGTTTGATCCTCAGCACCACATAAAAATAAATAAATAAAAATAAAAGCATTGTGTCCATCTACAACTAAAAATATATTTAATAAAAAGAATTTATCCACAAATTACAAAATAATGGTGGTAATTCTGTTATTCAACTTAATTTTGTATGCTGACTTTCAAATTTGTACATAAAATTATTCTCTGCCATGTACTAATAGAATGTTTAAATACCTCAAGCACTTAAGTCTAGAAACAACTTCTCATCTCCAAAGTACTTTATTTTTATTGTTTGGACTTTAATTAAGAAGACTGCATAGCAGTTAGCTCTTTCAAAAGTGAAAAAGCCCACATAAATATTTCTAATTTGAGCCCTTCTGCCACATTGTTCTGAAATTCCTCACCTCCAGGGTTCTAAACACTCAGAAAATATTCAGAAGTTATTATAGAAATGCAGTAATAATAGAGGCCATTACTGTTGGTTTTTCCCCTTCCCTTTCTGTTCTTCCTTTACTAAAGAATTAAATTTACTGGAGTAATTAAACTTGTTATTTTTTTTAAAGAAATAGATGCCCCTAAGCAAGAAATCTAACATTCAACAGAAACCATTTATGATAAGTATGTCATCCCCAAACCCAAAAATCATGGAATTCTGTTCATCTATGACTTTTGAAGCACCCTCAGACCCTTTAATAATCGCAGGAAAGACATCATTCACAAAGCTTCAAAGCAGCAATTTTAAACAGGCTTCCCTATCTAGAATTCTAGATAGGGCAGAGGGGTGGAAGGGAAAGGGAGGGGGCAGGGAATTAGCAAGGAAGGTGTAATGTGATAGACATCATCATCCAAAGTACATATATGAAGATACAAATTGGTATCAACATACTTTATATACAACCTAAGAAGTGAAAAATTGTGCTGTATACATGTAATAAGAATTGTAATGCATCCTGTTGTCATTTATTTAAAAAAATTTTTTTAAAAAATCAGGCTTCCCTGTGTATTTAAATGTGACAGTTGTGATGCCCTTTATCTTCAGCTACAAGGACATTCTAATAGGCTCCTCTAGAAGCTGGTGATCAGTTGCTTTTAATTTAGGGAAAAAAACCTTGAACCTTTTTCTAGGTTAAAAAACTCCATGCAGTGTTTTCTCAAAACTCTTGACTTGAGAATTATATTTCTGGAGGGCAAAAATAAGGAAAAAACCCAAATACTCAACAGACACATTCTTAGAAATTCAAATATAACTTCAAAAACCTGAATAAATCCAACAATAGGAAACTCATGGCCAAACAATTTATTTGTTTTTTAATGGGATATGCTATAGGAATAAAAAATGTTGTAGAATAAAGAGTACAGAAAACATACATAATATATTATTGGGTTGCTAAAATGCAAGTCACCGCATAGCCTATACAGAGTTTATATTATTGCGTATATACATGTATGTGCATAGAAACACATAAACTAGTTATTTGCTAAAATGTTAACAGTGATACTCTTTAGGTGACAGGATTAGGTAGTTTTTAGTTTTTTAGTATTTTTTTTTTTGGAGCACTAAAACTTTTCCACAATGAAGTCATATTATTTTTGGGATTAGATATTTTTTAGTCTTAATACCAAGTTTGGGTAAAATTATTAAGAAATCTCTTTGCCTACATAGTCTTCCTCCTAACTGTGATCATTAAATTTAATTTATGATTGGTCCATTATTTAAATGCTCCAGCTTTGGGTTTTTTWACTCAGATCAGAAGATTTTAAAAAGACCTTGGTATAAGCTAGTAATACTGCTATGAAAAAAATCAATGAACTAGAGCTGTGGTTATTCATATTGATGAATTACATAGTATTGTTAGGGTTGTAGACTGATGAATATTAGTAGTATAAAACATGCAAAAATAATTCTGTATTATGTTTAGGGATACCTACATATATGTATCACAAGTGTAAAGAAATGCATGTAAATGAGAACACTTAAATTCAAAATCCTATTACTTATGGTTTGGAAATTGGGGAAGTATTTGTAAGGGATATCAAATATTGATATTTTCTATTTCTTAAAATGGCTTGATAGGTATGTGAACATTCATGACATTATTCTTTTAGCATTAGATAACAGGGGGAAAAAGCTACAAAGGCTTTTAGTGTTTGAATGTTTTAGACAATCCAAACCCAAATCGAATTTATTCCTATAAATGGTTCATATTCTTTCCCAAGATTCTTTAAAATCATTCTCAATTTTGTTCAGGCATTTAAGACTTATCTGGTCACATACTTTGCACAGTATAGATGCACTGAACTATGCACTTTTGGAAGTGTTTGCTCATTAAAAACACAGTGAAAGAGGTAGTGATATTTGAAGGTTGACTATCTGCCTTAACAAACATGCCCCTGAAACTGGCACTCAAAGCAGCTATCCAATGGGCTTCAACATCAGTGTTTATTCTCATTAYCAACCTGAATAGTAATTTAATCATTGGTTCATTTGAGATGACTATATTTGCTACATACAATCGAAACAGCTGCTATCACTGGTTGGAAGGCACAGTCTCTGTGGAAACATCAATATGCAAAGAAGGGCGAGACCTAAAATCTTTGTTAACTCTCCACTCAGCTGTTAAGTGCATTTGTGAAATTAGAGTTGACCTATAAGTACACTGTAATGCTTTAAAATGTGGTGTTTGAAAAAATCAATATTAGGAAAGTATACTAATTAGACAGCATCCGAGCAATTACAAAGACAGTATTATGTCAACATACATTTTTATTACCCTGAGTCTAGCATTCATCTAAGACAGAGACCTCCTAACTTCCTATTAAATATGTCCTTCCCAAATTATGAGCTAAAATCAATCAATACCTTCTCCTTGAATTCTGTGGTTAAGAGAATGAATTAAAGTTAGCAGGGGTAAATTCAGAAGTAAGAAATAATGCATAATAATGCAGATTCTGTATTTCAAGTGAATACTGACTTGACTTTGGTTAGTATAGTTGTAGGCCTTATTTGAGGAGCAGACAGGAATTCTCTAAGAAACTAAAGCAGGATAATAGAAGTAAGTGAAGCAAAAGGAATTTTAAAATCATGTACTCTTTTTTATTTTTGGTACTGGGGATTGAATTCWGGTGTGCTTTAACACTAGCTACATCCCTAGCCCTTTTTATTTTTTATTTTGAGACAGGGTCTCACTACGTTCCTTAGGGTCTTGCTAAGCTGCTGAAGGTGGCCTTGAACTTGTCTTCTTTCTGCCTCAGCCTACRGAGTCACTGGGATTATAGGTATTTCCCGCCATACCTACCCAATACCATATACTCTTAAAGCACATTTTTAAGCAATCTGGCATAGCAATGAAAGTTCAGGCAAAACTATAGTAAATTAGTTTTAAACAAATGATGAATACCACACTAAGAGAATCACAAATGAAAGTGCATTTAGTAGTTGTGGTTTCCATTAACTGAGTATCAAAAATGACCATGCACATAGGGAAAAGGTGGCTGTCCTCAAAGTGCTATTTTTGGCCACACAGATTTTACATGAGGCTAGCCATTTTTAAGATCTCAGCAAATAATGCAGCCACATGTGTGAACCTGGTATTGTGTTTTAAAGTTTCCTACAAATATTCTGATTGTAGGATATATACATCAAAAATGAATTCTACAAAAAAATATAAGAAAGAACAATTCTTAGAGATCCTTGTTCTAGTAAGAAAAATTGAATTTAAAAAATAATATTTTTATAGTTAAATACTCAAAATTTACTATGCCATTAAAAATATATATCCCTATGCAAAATTTTGAACTATTAATTTGTCATAAATTCAAAGATAAATTTACAGTATTTTGTGGTTTGACAAGACATAAAAGCCAAGATATGAAAACTTCAAGGAAGAAGATCTGCAAGTAAATTTGGATCCAAATTATCTCAGGAAGAATGAAAACATGTATAGTCTTTCTTTTGGAAGTAGCAGCAAGAAGTTCATGTAGGTGAAATGCACACACTAACAGATTTACATGTCTTATTTATTAACTGTGCTTCTTCTGCCAACAGCCAATGATGTATCTCCACTTGGATGTCTCAGAGGCCAAATGGCCCCAACCACTCATCATTTCCCAGAGCCCAGAGAGAGTGCTCATTCATTTGCTGAAGCTAGATATCTGATGTTCTTAACTCACTCTTCCTCACCATCCCAACCTAATCATAGAGCAAATCATGAGGACACTATCCAAATTTGTTTTTCTTCACCCCTACTGCCACAATTCCAGGTCAGATTATCATTATCACTCACTGAATAATTCCTTTGTAAGTGTGATCAAATGTGCAGATCTTTTCCATTGCCTGGATTCTCCCTGGAGGGAAAATACATCTACTGTTTTTAGGTTAGCCTGGACGCTATCTGCAGAGATTAATGTAGTCAGAAGAGAATCACAAGAGTAATAATACAAGACAAAATTGCTAGCTTTAGAGTTGAAATTTTATTATGAATTTCTACTCCAGAATATTGATTTCACGAACCACAAAAACCCTAATGATCATCACATTTTAACATACTGATTATTTAAAAAAAAACAGAACTAAGAATATTAAACAATATTATTTGATATTGACTTTAAAGTAATTTGAAGATGTCTGTAATTATGTACAATCTAGGCAGCCAGAAACTAAAACACATAAGACTTTATGTGAAAAAGACTTAAAAGAAAAAAGGGGGAGCGTATGACCAGGTGAAAAATTAAAAAATAGATTTACCGGAATGCTTGGTTCAGAGTTTGATAATGAAAATGTTCTGGTGCCAGTCCTATGACCACAGCATTAGGATCATTTGTTTGTATTCCTATGAGTAGAAAAAATAACTGTTAAAAACTGCAAATTTAAAAGCAATGCCACATTTTATAACAAAGTAGTTTTAATCAATTAACTGGACATTTTTGCTCAGCCATATTTGAAGTTTAAGAGATTGTCTTGCCAGTATACTTCGAAAGTGAAAGAGAAAGAACTGAAGACAAGAAGGTGGAAAGGGCTACTAATATTTTTCCATATTCTCATAGCTACTTAGTAACTGAAGTGAAAATGGTAACTTGATGTTCTCAAGCAAGTAATTTCTAACTTCAAAATGCTTTACTGATTACAATCAACAAGAACAGCTACAAGTTCCTTAGGAGCCAGCAGATCAATAGCAACTGATGAGGAATTGAGAATCTAAGAGGCAAGGGAAATTAGACTTTCTAATTGACACTGTCAAGGTTAACACATTCACAATGAATATGGAAAGTACTGCAGATTCTACAGTTTTATACATGAGGCCTCATCCACTTTTCAGAACTTCTTTTCTTTTGTGGTGTTGGGGATTGAACCCAGGGCCCTGTGCATGTGAGGCAAGCAGTCTACCAACTGAGCTACATCCCTAGCCCTTTCATCTACTTTTAGTTTCACATATTTTACAATTAAAGCATGTTGTAAGGCCTTGGTATCTGATAACAGGATGTCAGATATGACAACTAAAYGTGCACACTCACCATACAGTTTTTCAAAGTCTGATTAAAAGTTCTGTGGATTATCCATGTGCCAATTCCTATTTGCCTCTCTTATTGCCTGCAGATGCCCAAGTTTTCCAATTTCCTCCTTACTAGTTGCCACAAGTATCAAGAAGTTGGTTAAATTGTTGAAGGAACAAAGTAAAATTGTTGACAACAGTAAGAATTAAAGGGTTTTGTGGGTACACGTGTGTAAATTTTTAAAATTATCTATATCCATCACTGGAGCAAAGATGCTCAACACTGGCAAAGTTATCTCCATTCCCTTCAAAAATCCATCTACCTTGGCAATTTTTATGTATATAGAAACGTTGCAAGTATAGTCCTAGACTGAATGATAAATTTCTTTCAGACCAAGGAGAAGCAGAAGCTTATATATTCCAATTCTAGCACAAATTTGGAATCAGAATTGTAATATTTCTTACCTATCTGAAGTCAAGAAGAAAAAAATCAGATTAAAACATTGTACTGTAGTCCTTCAGCTTGTCCAGAAACATAAATATGTAGACTGTAGGAGATACTTGTCATTATTTTTGGTTGCCCAGTTTCTTCATGCCATTCTCACAATTAGGGAACTTATCCGCTCATTTGGAGTGCTAAGGGGTGGAGCTTACTCTCACAACAGAGGCTGAGGATACCAGAGGCTTTCTATACTCCCTTGGCACCTTGTCAGTTCTGTGGGCAATGGTGTACATTGTTCTGGGCTGCATAGCCCTTAAGACTAACTCTCCAACTATCCTTGGCAGTTCAGTGGGTCACCTAAACAGCTTTTTGTTTGTCTGTCATGGAAATTTCCAAAAATATATAAGTAGAGAGACTAGCGTTATAAGTTCTGATATACCACACAGCACCCAGCTTTTGCAACCATCAATATTTTGCCAATCATCCCCTACAATTTTTTTGCAAATGTTTATAGAACAAATACCAGATATTGTGTCATTTTACTCATTTATACTKAAGTATGTATCTAATCAATAAAGACTTTTTAAAAACCGTAACATTATTACATAAAAAGTGAATAACTTGAGATCCAACATGGTGGCAGGCGCAGAGAGATCAAGTCTCTGACCCCTTCAGCTGCGCGGGCATAGGGAGTCGTAAACTGTCTAAATGCTGTTTGCTCAGGAACACTAGGCAATGCTGAGCTGACATGGATCTGGGGCGAACAGTCTAGGCCTCTCGGAACACACACCGAGCCCGGAGCGACTGCATTCAAGCTCTGGATCACCTGTTTCTCGTGACTCAGCACTAACGATCCCGCTGAAATAACTGGTCGGCCCTTCTGAACTTACAGAGGTAAAAGGCAAGCGAGCCTTCATAGGCAGTGGCCACAGGATTGAAACGGGGCTTGGGAGAGAGAGTCAGGACCCACCCGTTGCATTGGTCACCCGGCAAAGGGAACGAACGGTCACCATTTGCATGGGATACCACCATGGCAGAGAACTGACGTCACGGGCGGAGGAGATAAGTTCATTGAAACCGGCGACAGGTGTGTAATCCCCTAGCCATTCCTCTCCACATAGCGGGGAAACCTTAAGGGCCCCTCCCAGCTCTCCCGTGAGCGCGCTAGCCAGACCGGAGGGAATCAGGAGTGGCGCGGGACTCGAAGCGCGGAACTCGAGGCTACCGCTCCCACCAGTGCTGACAACTGAGGTCCCTTGCACCAGCTACTGGGGGCGTGGCTACCGGAGGGCAAGCAAATTCGCTGGGAGTTCTCAGCCCCAAGCTCTACAAACTTAGGGTCTGA